AAAGGCCGCATTGAGGTTCGCTTTAATTGTACATTGATTTACTACAACTTCATAAATGTAAGCGAACATAAGTGCAATAAAAGCAAACACCCCCATGATTCTGTGGCATTGGAATCACCCACTAGTTGAAAAATATGGTCATGCAATTTATTAATTATTCAAGTGGGTGACATCATGTCTTGTATGATTGGATGTTTGTCAGCTAAGGATCAAAATATGCAAATTTAAAGTGGGCGGAACAGGGATCATATATAGCAAAAGTTCTGGAGTCTATTTTTCAATAGAGAAGCCGAGAAAACAAACAGCTGGCGTATGATGACAGTATTTCGCTGTGTGAAGTAAAATGTCAGTTCTAACATTTGCTTTTATGTTTTCTTTCTTTCATGCAGGAAGTCTTTTCTAAGGTAGAGTTTAAATCCGCAAATCTTATCAATGAGGGTAAGATTCTAATACATTCCAATGAAAAATTACCACACTAGAGAATTTCTACAATGTTTCTACAGTTCATCTGTTTGTATATTCCTGGTGTAAATTAACTGCAAAGCTTGCTTTGAGCTGGTTTTGACTTTTCATAAATACTTTTTAAAAAATCAAAAAAAAAAAAAATCAAATTGATTGTCATTATCACCAATAATTTCAACTTATTTTTGTAAACTTACATTTATTACTAATACTAATCCACATAAATTAAATATGTGACAGTTTTGAAAGCAAATTAAGCTAACAAAAAATGAAATTGCTACAATTAACAAAAATTCAGATTCAGTGGAGATGTGTTTGCAGATAAATGTAAATATTTCGTGAGTGATTGCTGTATTTTTGTTACAATTACAGCATCTGTAGAAAGATGTTTCCAAGATGACGATGGTGAATTCGATATCGTCGTGAATGCCGCTGCAGAGACCAAATATGGGCAGTCGGAACCAGTAAGTTATTTGTTTAATAGAAATCCATCATGATTTACCTAGTCTAGCCTCTAAACATTACTTTGACATAATTGTGTATGGGTAAAAGAAAGGGCAGTCACATTGAAAACTATTTGTTTTGTAGTAATTGTGTTATATATATCTAGAATACAGTATTTACCTGATGGAAGCGAATCTTCAATCAAAACGTAATAACCAAACAGAGCATTTGCTGGATACTCAATCATAAAATATTACCTATTTTTAGAAAATCTGTGTAAATTACATGCACTACTAATAGAGCAAATATGGTATAGCAAATTTTGAATTGTATTTTGATTGAAGAATGATTTCATATGAAAAAACAATGGCCATGATTTGAATTAAGGGGCTTTTTTTCACACGTCTATCTGAACATAGTCGCTCTGTAGACTGATCAAATAATGGCAATGCATATTACAATGCTTGTTCTGGCTACTTTGAAGTATGTGACGAATGCTCGGTAGACTTGCATGATGAAGAAATAAATTGCTACTTTTCCTGATCTGCTATTGAAAGTAAAATCCTTAAATCAATGTTTTGGATAGCGTGAAATCAGTTTAACTTAATTTGAGCTCATTCAAGGTGGATTCTGATTTTTTTAATTTTAAAATCTCAATTATAAAGAATTTACTTTTTATGTGTGCAGTTGAATGTGCAGTAGAAATAATAGTAGTGATTATTGTCTAAAAGGTGTGAATCGTTCATTATTTAGCCGTGACATGTGCTGTTTGAAAGACATTTGGTTTGTTTCCAGACCGGTCTATAGCATGACTGTGGAAGTGAAACCAATCTAATGTAAACTGAATGTTGATTCAGTCATATTGGTTCAATTTCTTTGCTTCTCAAATGTAATTTTCTTTACAGGTGTACAAAGATGGAATAGTCAAACTGAGCCTGAATTGTGCCCGAGAAGCAGCCAAAAGAAAAGTTAAAAAATATTTAGAAATATCCACAGGTCAGGTTTATGCAGCAGATAAGGTTAGTGTGATGTCATTTCCTTTTAGTCCAAGTTTCTATGACATCACTTCCTTTAAAGGAGATGGGTAGTGTGATGTCATTTCCTTTCCATCACAGTTTCTATGACATCTTTTTTTTTCCTGTAAGATTACTATATTGTGCGAAGCATCAGGAAAAATAAAAACTGGTACTTTATGTTGTTAGAAGTATACATTTTGTCTTTTGCAGAAAGCTAGTGCGGAAAGTTCCAAAGTGTCGCCATGGACGCACATGGCCAAGCACAAACTAGAGGTAGAAAAAGAGCTTTCAAAAATAGATGGGTTGAATTATATAATTGTTCGGCCGGCAATTACTTATGGATTAGGAGACAAAAATGGAATCAGTAAGTATTTGTAAAATGAGACCCAAAACACTGTTTACAACATGTGTAAAGTACATTGTTTGTTTACGCATAATTCAAACGCGCACCTCAGGTCAACTTAATTTGGAGGAAATCATATTGCAAAATGTGAATGTTGTGAAATGATTTTATAGCTGGAACAGCACCCTCTGTGAT